TTTTTTTTTCCTCCTAGGCTAAATTTGGGCAGGGGTGCGGAGGCCAAACTCGTCGGATTGCTCCGCCTATTTGGCAACCGAAGCAGCGCCGATTGGTGACACACGAGCAGGCTCGAGGCACGGTCCCCTTGGTCGGGTGGGGGAGGAGCATGCCTCTTTGGATGTGATTCTGATTCGGATTCTAGATTCCCGGCAAGGTCGACGACGGTCACACCCCGTGGCCCTCCTAGATCACCCGAGCGCCCTGTTCCCCGCACCTTGTGACCTCTAAGGGGATCCGCATTGTACTGTGCTGCGCTCCAACGGAGCTCTATTGTTGCTCGCCATCGGCTCGGCTGCAACAGTAAAACCAAGAGCCATACGCCTTTTCTTGCGTACACGCCGGATCATCTGCGTCTCTGGCTCAAGACGGAAAAGCAGGTTTCGCCGAGCGCTGGGCGAAGGTGGATGGACACGCGGCTCGAGTCGGGTAGACTTGCTCGCCTTTCATGCCCGCTTCGTGCCACCGAGTGTCCGCTGCAAGCCATTCTGTCGCCCAGGCAGGGCTGCATCTCGCCGCAACCTCTCTGCATGTTTGTACCAGAAACACTGGCTTCGAGATCAGCCACCATGGATCAGCTGGACCTCTCCCATCCATCGTTCTCGATGGCTTATCCGGCCGATGCCGTGATGATGGCTGGATTCCGCAGAGGTCGCCTGTCAGAGCGCAACGGGACCACGGCGAGGTTTCACAGGATTCCTCGGTGGTGCTTGGGCCATGGTCGGAGCGGCGGACGCAGTTGATCTGCCGACGTGAAGAGCTGAGGTCCAGGTGTCAGGCGAAACGCCCTTGCCGCCTGTTCAGCGAAGCCTCGTCCGCGTGGCCCTGGGAACAGGCAGCTGCTCATGTTGTTGGAAGCTGGCATTCGGGTCGTGGGAGCTTGTTCTGCACATGCACGCTCGAGCGTCGCAGCCGTTTTTCAACCTCCGCTGATATCGGTTATCTCTCGTCCAATCGAGCGTCCGCGTTGACTGCCAACGCTGATCCTGGCTTGCGCGACGCGCGCCCTGTCGGCTGCTTCGGAGCCTACTAGGACGCCGAGATGCAAGACCATATGTCCGTATTTTCCGGACGCCTTCTGCCGCAGTCTGCGCCGAAACTACGACGCCAGGATCACCAATCGCAGCGCCACGATGATGTTGCCGGAGCGCGGACGTAGCTGGCTCGCGCGTCTTCCGTTCACCCGAGCGGGCCCCGGAAGCCGTATTGTTGACCGGCCACAGGCTGCAAGCTCGACCAATCACTGCTCCCGCAAATCAACGTCTCACCGGCAGATCCCTTTGGGCGCTTTTGGGTGGCAGTCGTTTCCGCCTCGGCGTCAAGCAGCATCGTGAACAGCTTGTGCTTGCCGGCAACAGCCTCTCAGTCATCACAGCGCATCGGTTACGGGATTTGCCACATATGCCGGCGAGCAATCCCAACCTAAATCACCGCCATGCTGGCACGTTGTGCATCGCTGCCCATGGCCAAGCGAGACGGCGACCCCACTCTCCGGCATCGCCGTACGGCATTGCGTGGAGACGGCCGTGCGCGGCGCATTCTGCGTACAGAACCGCTGCTACCGACGTTGTGGTCTGTGCGTTGCCCGTTTAGAGCTGCACGCCCGCCTGCGAGATGATGTTGGCCGTGCCGGTAGCGCGCACCGTGTGGTGGCGAGCGAGCTCGCTTCGGCGATCCGGCTGCGCGCCACGCTGCAGCACCAAGGCCTCACACGGTGTGGCGTCCTCGCCCAACCCAAGCCATGCTGAACCGCAATTTTCTTGGATGTAGCACGATAAGCTCTAACATCCTCCATCTATGCGCTCCTTTTTTGCACCACCATTTCGGTGCATCTTTTCTTGGGAACGTCGATTCACTCCTGTTCTTCACACGGCACTGAAGCAAGACAGCAACGACGCTACGACACAAACTCTCACCACAACTGCGAGCGCTCTGACGCATCGTCTTGCGTTACTGTAACTGCCATTCATGCACTGAGTCTAGGCGGTGGCGACGGTAGTCTCCTTGGCGAGCTCCGCCTGGTTCTTGGCCGTGGAGCCTGCGGGCGGCATGGTGGGGTCGATGGACCTGTTCTTGTTCATGAACTCGCGCACCAACTCATCCGAGACAGCCGCCTTCTTCTGCTGGAAGTTGCTGACCACCTTTTGCAGCACGGCGATACACTTTTGCTTGAGCTCGCCCGTCAGCATGGCGCCCGAGCGGTAGTCGGTCGCGATCCTCTCGATCTCGGCATCGTCGTCGAGGAAGAAGGTGAGGTACTGGTAGGCCACGTCGACGTCCGGGTTGCCGCCCAGTCTGCGCTGCTCCTCGGCCGTCTCCTGGCCACCGGAGAAGGCGTGCTTGTTGATCTTGTTCTTGATCTGGTTGGGCGTGTCGTGCATAAAGATGCTGCTGTTCTCCGCCGACGCGCTCATCTTGGTCTGGCTTCCCTGGAGCGCCGGGAAGAACTTGGAGTGGATCAGGCACGGCTTGGGGTATTTGAGTCGCGAGGCCACGTCGCGCGTCTGGCGGAAGTAGGGGTCCTGGTCGATGGCGCACGGGATCAGGCACGGGATGTCGTGCTTCTCGCCAAAGATCTGCGGGAACGAGTTGGAGAAGGAGGGTGCGGCCTGGATCGAGACAAAGTGCGCCTTGCCCACACTGTCGCTGTCGGTGAAGCCAAAGGTGCCCTTGGACTGGTTGATGGTGATCATGCGCGAGATGCGCACAATGTTGGCGTAGAACGCACCGCCGACAAAGTCGAGATTGGAGAAGATGAACGTCTTTTCGAGCTTGAAGCCGCACGCGATGATGTCACGCGCGTTCTTGAAGGCAAAGTCCTTGACCTGCTCGATCTTGAGGTTGGCCTTGAAGAGGAACTTTTCGTCGTCCGTCAGCTGGATGACCAGTGGGCAGTCGAACACATCCTGGAGCCACTTTGTGAAGAGGAAGGGGATGAGATGCCCGAGGTGCATCGAGTCCGAGCTGGGGCCACGGCCGGTGTAGAGGTAGAACGGCTTGCCCTGCTCGTAGCGGTCGAGGATCTTGTCGAGCTCGCGGTGCGAGAAGAAGCTGCCGCGACGCAGCAGCGGATGTGGCTTCCAGCCGGTGAGCTTCTCGAAACGCTCGAGCAACGCCTCGTCGATCTTGCGCGTGCCGAACTCCTTGACGAGCTTGTCGTAGTCGATGGCCACTTGCTGACCGTCGACGGTGGCGCCTTCCACGTCCCAGGGCGTCACCTTTTGCTCGGTAGCCGCAGCCTTGGACGCCTCGAGCGAGGTGTTGGCCACACCCTGCGTGATCTGATCGGTGCTCATCGTGTACGATGGAGAGAAGGAGCGGGTATCGCGCTCGCGGTGGTCCTGGAGAGATGGTCGAGGTGAGAGTGTCGGTGTCGAGTCAGGGCCCAAATAAGCCAGAAGAAAGCGCCTGCGCCGGCACTTGGATAGGGTCTGGGCGGTTGAGCGCTCTAAAAATCGGCACTCGACTGCTGGGCGTCACGTGAGCGCCTCCGCTGACCTGTCTCGAGTGGAGCAGCGCATTTGGCATGGCCACCTGCATCTCTGCTGCCTCCGCCCTTTCATCCGTCACCTTCTCCGATTCGCACCATCGACGGATCCTCCGATAGGCAGCATACACGATGGTAAGCAGTCTCCAAGAGGCACACGGCAGCTTTGGCGCTCGCCTACTTGCATTTCGGACCAAGTCAGCAAAGTACTGACCTTGTCTACCTTCATTCGTCCGTGCACGATCGTCGCCGTCGCAGCTCATCTTCTCGGCTTTCAAGACGCTCACAGGGCAGCAGGTCACAATCGAGCTCAAGAACGATCTTGCCATACAAGGCACCCTCAAGAGCGTGGACCAGTGCGTATCTCGCAGCTCCACATTGTCATATGGAATCTTGGACACCAGCTGACCTCGCATCACGCTTCACTACTGCCACGTCGATCACGTTCGGCCTTCTGGCTGCCCCGACATCCACAGGTTCTTGAACTTCAAGATCGACAACATCCGCGTTCTCGATGAGGCGAAACACCCACACATGGTGAGTCCAACCGCTTTCCACACTGCTCCATCCAGGAACAACACGCTGAGCGACGACCTACCCGCACGCACAGATGGCCGTCAAGTCGGCCTTCATTCGAGGTTCCGTCGTTCGTTACGTTCACATCCCCGCCGCCGCCGTCGACACTCAACTCCTCGAAGACGCGACAAGGAGAGGTAAGCATCTCCCCATCCGCACCTTCACAACCACGCGTCGACCAACCCACTCACCATGCCCTCCCGCTCTCTTCCCACATCGATCGCAGAGGCTGCTTCGCAAGCCAAACGCTAGACTCGACCCGCTTTGCTCCCTTCCACAGCGTGCGTGATCGTCCTTCACGGAGCGCAATTCGTGTACAATACCATCCTAAGCCACGGTAATCCATCGCTGCTTGAACAACACCACCGTAACGTGCTTGACTTCCGCACCTGAGCGCAACTTCACTCTGCCCGAGACCGGCTCATCGCACCGCCAAAACATGCTCATGATCATCACTTGCGATCCGAAACGAGACACACAAAGGAGCACAGACAGCGAACAAGGAGGATTTTGACTTTCATGGCATTTCGACAACGTCGAGGAGACAAGACTCGCCACACACGTCTGTCGCGAGCAGGCGCGCGCGGAAGCTTGGCCCCTCACCATCACAGGATTCGTCCCTGCCACGCGGGAGGTACCTGCTGCAAATTTTGAAGACGTCCAAGGAAGGGATCCTCGCATAGGGGCATTCGCCCTTCGTACCGAACCAGATTCGCAGACGGAAGGAAGCGCTGTTGCCGCGCATCAAAACCGACCGACTGCCTTGATCCATCAAAGAGAGATCGCGAAGAAGTTATCTTGATGAGCGCACCGAGACTTGCGCTGGAGAAAACGTCGCCTGATTCCTGCACGCTAGGCGTGCAGGGACTGTATAGTGACTTTCAAAGGCCGCCACAAGACCTCTCGAAACGGAAACGAGGACCCCTGGCCCCCGCGACGCCCACATGGGGCGCCCCGTAGTAAAACCGTCCATGTTGGACGGTTATATCTCTACGACGCGGTCGACACCGCGCCGTCGTATTCATGCATCGTCATTTCAACGACACCGACTTGACAGGGGAGTCTTAGACAAGACTGCTCCCTCAGATTGTTGCATCGTCACTTCGATCGACGCCGATTCGGTCGGGGCAGTCTTCGACAAGACTGCTCCCGGAGTTCGCCTGGCAACTAGCGACCAGTATGAGTTCGAGGCGGGGAGCACACTTCCACCGCCGGATTCGCAGCGCGCCCCACGATGGACGCGCCGATTACAATGCGTGGCCTTCCTGACCTACGCGCGACAGGGGAGAGACGGCACCCTCCCCAACAGGCAATAGCGATGCCTATAACGACCAGCGCCGCGAGATGGCCTGACCGGACCCTCCTCACCTCCAGTGGCGGCTATCCTAAGCGGCCCGAATGCGAGGCGTTTCCGGAGGAGGATGGGGAAAGGAAAGAGGGAGTCGAGAGAGGGGCGCGCGGGTTTTTATCTCTTTGGGCTTGGCGCAGCGCCTCAGCCGGCTGCAATGGTTGCGCTATCTCAGTGCGGCTCAGCAGTTCGGAAAAATGGACAGGGTGCAGTTGCGCGCGCGCGCGCTTGGGGCAACTGCGAGCCCATGCCAGGGGGGGCCGCGCAATACGCACCGCGCTCTAGTGCCCTCCATCCCGCTCGGAATCACAATTTCACGCACGCACCTCATGAAGCCAAGCAACCCACTCAACATGTCCCTTTGTCTCGCTGCACACCGTGTGAACTGCTGCAGCGCAGTCACGGCTTAGCTCACCTCTAGAGATCACAGGCCCACGCGCTGAATCACGGGCTGTGCACAGCTTGACTTGCGTACTAGTACAGTGTGAGAGCTACATCGGAGATCACCACAAAGAGCTCGAGGCCGGAAATGAGAGAGAGCGTTTCACAGCGGCTCCTGCTTCATCTGCGAAGCGACTTCTTCGCCATTGATCGTCGCGCGACCTGCGTTGCCACTGCCGTTGCCATCACCTTTGCTGCTGCCGGAGGTGCGCATGCCGAGCTCCGTCTCGAGCGCCGCTCTGGCGCGCGCATCGACGCGCACAACATGCTGCATCCAAAAGTCTCCGAACGTCGTGCTGAGGGTTTGGTTCCTCTCCTCTGCGGTGCCTGTCAGCTCGGCGTTAGGCGCAACAAAGGGCGGCAGCAACGCATGCAGGGCACCGGCAACTTCGTCGATGAGCGGCTTCATCTGCAATCGACGCACGGCGCTCGGTTGGTTCGGCTCGCCACCATGCAGCGCGCCCGCCTCCCACGACTGCATCCACTCGCCCAACAGCCGCAGCGGACACGCTGACGACGTCGCTTCCGGCTGCTCTGCGCCGTCTCCGAGCTTGGCGTTGAGCTGCGCCGAGCCGGAAAGCAGGATGCGGAAGCTCGCTTTGCCGAGCCGACGCAGCGCCGTGAGGGCGCCGAGTTTGGTGCCCGGACTCGCGCGAGGTTCGCGTGCCGCCGATCCGGCCTCGCCGCCGCGTCGCGCCGAATCCTGGTCGCTGCTGCCCGGCACCACACCCGTCATGAGGGCCTTAAGCAGCGTCGCCACCACGCGCGGCTTGAGCGTCGGATACGATGCGCCAAACGTGTCGACGACGTGCGTGAGCAGAGCCGACGCATGTGCACGCAGCGAGTACGACGATGGCCCCGCCGTGATGAGCGGCGTCTGCACGTCCGCGTCCGCA